AAGCCTCCCAAGAGGACCCAAAGAACTACAAAGGTTGTAATTTCTTCACCTCTTCTTTGGTTGGTGTTTAAATCTTTCTACAACTTGCAAGGTTGTCATTTCTTCACCTCAAATTTTTAAGTCTTTCGTTTGCCATAATTTTTTAGTTTATGAAACTATTTTTTGATCTAAAACCCAGTAAGGATTAGATAAAAATCCTAACAAAATACTAAGATAGGATCGTTAGATATCTTAGAGATGATAAGAAATTATCGTTAGATATCCTACAAAGATAGTAAATTAGAATTAATAAATATATCCTAAAAGATAATAATATAGGATCATCAGATATCCTGGAAGATAATAAGATATGATGGTTAGATATCCTAAAAGATAGTAAGCTAGGGTTAATAAAATATTTTAGGAAATGTTTTTCTAGAAGAAAAATGATTCTTAACATAATATAACCCAATAAAAGCTGAAAACTATAAAAACTTGTGCACTCACCAACATTATGTCGACGTTTTCAAAATTCACATGTGTTCCTAGGAAAGAGTAAGAGATCAAGTCAGAAAAGGATTATCGACATGAAGACTTGTAGATTTCGTTTAGAAAAGGTAAATGATTGGCGCTTTGTGATTTGAGAAATCTTTATACCGTCACCACTCGACATTTTCCGCCATTGACCGGGGAGGGTGTGACAGTATCCTTAACCGTGAAATCAACGCCATTGCCCAAATCCCAAATCCAACTGTCAGGACGGCTACAAAAGTCACGCTACCCATCATCTTAATCAAAGCCGTGAATTGAGATATTTCAGCCCCTCCTCTCAGTTGTCTCCTCCAGCTCCAATGTCACGACTGATCAACTCTTCGATCGACAATGAGACAATCTTGATTGGAATATAATGCCACAAGACTGGGAAAAACTTGATTAAAAGGAACACCCCCAACCCAAATATCCTTCTAAAAAAACGTATGTCAACCGTTCCCTACAAATTTCTAAATAGAATTAACAGGAACAATTTGTCTCTCATGCAAAGTCCGAGTAACAACAACAATAGACGACCATACTCCTTTAACTGTACTACCTCTACAACCAATAGTAAAATCTCCTAAGTCACCATGAATAGATTTAATAACTCTAACCCAAAGAGCTTCAAGATTATTCAAAAAACGCTACCGCCACTTTAGCATTAAAGCCTCATTAAGACCAACCAAGCTATCAATACCAAGACCCCCAACTTGTTTGTCGGCCAAAACCATCTTCCATTTAGCACAACTATTTTTCTTTCTTCTGTATCTAATCCCCATAAAAAGGTAGCTTTCAAAGAGTCTAACAAATTACCGATTTTAACCGGCATTTTTGAATAAAGAGCAATAATAAATACCCAATGAGCCTAGGACCGATCTAATCAAAGTAAATCTACCACCAATGGAAATCATTTTTACCTTCCACTCTGTTAACTTCTTTTTAAACTTTGACACCAGCGGATCTCAACTCCTAATCCTAGCCATATTAAGACCAACAAGAACCCCAAAATACTTAAAAGGAAAAGAATCAAGTTCACGTCCCGTCACTATACCAAAATCATGAACCTCAGCATCAGAGACACCAATCCCATGAATTTTTTATTTATGAAAATATATTTGAAGACCTGAAACATTATAAAAACACTTCAAAATCCATATCAAAATCACCATATTTTCCTTCGACCAATGACCCATAAAGATCGCATCATTTGCATAGAACAGATATGAGACCTGAATAGTAGGGGAGCCAATCAAATAAGGAATAAACATATTAGAATCCACTACATCCAACATAGATACGTTCAATGCCTCCATAACCAGTAAGAAAAGAAAATGAGATAAAGGATCTCCTTGTCTAAGGCCTCGCTCAAGAAAAAATTCATCCGTGGGGCTTCCATTGACTAAGATCGACGATCTAGAGGACACCAAGCAAGCTTTAATCCATCTAATCCATCTATGTCTGAAATCCAAGAAAGTCATAATAACAAGAAGAAAATCCCATGAAACAGAATCATATGCTTTTTCAAAGTCAATTTTAAGAAGCATACATTTTTTTCTTATGCTTCTTACACCACGAAACAATCTCATTCAATAAAAGGGGGGCATCTAAAATCTACCTACCTTTCATGAAAGCCGATTGTTGAATGCCAATGGCCGAACCAACTACCACCACAAGCCTATTAGCAAGAGTCTTTGCTAAAATCGTGTACATCACCCTAATCAAACTAATAGGTCTAAAATCTCTGACAAGTCAAGGATCTTGAACCTTAGGAATTAAAGTAACAAAGGAAGAATTACAACCAGAAGGAATGAAACCTCTATCACTAAAATCTTGCATGAACGCCATGATATCCAGTTTAAGAATATCCCAAAAGTGTTTAACAAAATAAAAGTTAAACCCATCTGGACCTGGCGCCTTGTCTCTACTACAATCCTAAACTGCCTATTTGATTTCTTCTTCCAAGAAAGCCCTTTCAAGACCCTGACACTGCTTACGGTTTAAATAGCCAAACCGAGGGCTTCTGTTCACCAAATCCAAGCCGTCATTTTTTTTGAATTTTGAACCAAAGGAATCAAAAAACTCACATTTGACCTCCATCAGATTAGTAACCCACACCCCATCTCTCAAAATACCAGATTTTTTTTTACGCCGCCTATATTTCAAAACACTGTGAAACATTTCAGAATTTTCATCTCCTTCTTTAACCCACTTGGCTTTCACCTTTTGAGCAATGTCTGAAGACTCGTCACGATCAAGCTTCTTCAAAATACCAAGCATCCGACATGTCTCAACAGATAAGTCGCTAGACCCACCCCCTTGATCTATAATGTTATCAATTTGAATCAAACGAGAATGAGCTTCATTTTTTTTCTTTATTTCTGTTAACTTTAACAGTAGCATCCATGGCTTAAGACAATTCTTCACATTCTTGAGTTTATTTTTAAATCTAGAGAATGGACAATCCATATTAAATTTTGGATCATTCCAAGCATTGAGACAATCTCCTCGAAGCTATCCCAATACAACCAAGAGTTATAAAACTTGAAAGGAACCAGATCATAATCAAGAGAATCATGATGAAGTAAAACAAGGCGATGATCAGAGTGATTAAACTCTAAAGCAAGAGATTGGATAAAAGGAAACAAATCAACAACATTCTCCGTAATAAGGAATCTATCCAATTTTGTGAATTTCGAACCATGCATGTTTTTTTTGGAAACGACAAATGATTAAACAGAAGCCTACTCGCATATTTCAACGAGCACCCTGGGTTCGAACCATGCATGTTAGATATAGTAAAGGCAAATCCACCCAAGGGAACATCAACAAGGCTCAAACTTGAAATGAAATTATTAAGATCCGAAGAACTGTAATGACAAAATCTTGTACTCATACGCTCCAATGAGTCCCGTACCACATTAAAATCTCCAAACAAATACAAGCAACATCTCTACGATTGATAAAAGAGGAAATAAAATCCCACAAAGCCTTTTTAGCCGACCTCTCTTGAGGCGCGTATACATTTACCAAACAAGTTAAATTAGAAGCCACCCACACCCCTTCAACAATAAGCACATTATCTATGCATCAAAACTAATATTTTGTCAACATCTCTCAGTCTTTTTTGTGACCCCAAACCACTTTTTAACACACAATAACACCCCATTAGCATCCTAACTCGACTATAACTTGAAAGCATTAATGGCCACTACACGACCATGGAGGGTCCTAGGGTTTATGAAGAAACAATTATAAACAAGTACAAGTATTGCTCTTCCAAAACACATTAGTTTGATGCACGAATTCTCTTTTCTCCAACGATATGATTCTCTTGCACATTTGATCTTTCTTCTCTCTCAAACCATAGCCAAATCACCCATTCTTCTTCTTTTTTCTAACTTACATGTTTCTGGATCCCAAAAGAAACCATATGGTATGAATTTCCCTTATTAATTGGCGTTATTTCTCAATTATTCTCCTTTAGCCACGTTATATTAACTAACGTGTCAACGGGACAAAACTCATAATTCCCTTACAAGGTAAATATACTTGTGATGACAACATACTTTTAAAGTTTCTCTATTCCTCGTATTTTCTTGCGACTAATTCAATGTATTAATGTTCAACATCATACACTTACACTCAAAAGTCAAAAGTCAAAACACATCTAAAACATATTACCCGTGAACTCCATAAGGCTGTTAAGGAATGAATTTACTGTGTCTGTGAGATTTGGCGTCTGTTACAATAATAAATACTTGTTCATCAATGGTACATTTGGTTAAGTGAAACCACAATAAATAACCTATCTCAAGATCTCTCTCAACTTTAGGCAACTTCTAAATTTCATAAAACCAAAAATGGATCGATCTTCGATAATCGATCCTAAAAGAACAAAGCCGTGTAGAATAGTTGGTTCCAAGTATCCGGTAACCCAGGAAGACACCAATGTGTACAATCAGGGGTGCCATTAGGGTCAGCCTTTTGACCCGTGCTCGTATCCCCGCTGTAAATCGATGGATGAGCATCTTTCCTCATAGCTGAAAGAGTCGTGATGTCAAGCATGTAAACCGGCGTTTGCATTTCCCGGAGCACAGCGTCCACCACCTTCATCTCGTTCGGGTACACCCCCAAGAAGGCCGAAGCACTCACCGGAGCCGTCTCCCCATAGCAGCTCTTTGCGGTGGTTGTCGCCCCCGACCCTCCATTCCATTCAGACGGACTGTAATAGTTTTTCCGGTAAGTAAAAGTAAAAGTACGTGCATAATTAGAGAATTGAAGAGAATGAGGGTGAATTATGCATACTCGTAGTGAGTAGGTGAGAACGATTGGAAAAAGACTCTGGTTTTAGTGGTGTCGATATTCGAATCAACCCATCGGGCCCACGTCCTTACGGCGGTTTCCATGGCGACCATACGATCCATATCCTGGTAAAGCGACCCACCGGATTCCATCATGTCCCACCTGCACCGTATAAATTTTAAGCAATTAATGTCAATCCCTCAGAGTCTTCTGACACCAATACTTTTTTTTTCAATCAAATACAGTAATAACATGTGAAATGACAATACTAACCCTTGGGTGGCGCCGGTGTGGCTCCACCAGTGACCGGTGTTGAACACGAATACGTCGACGTCCCGCCATGCCTGGGCGTTTTCCGATATGTCCTGCAGCTTGAGTACCCTTCGTCCTCCGACAGAATCAATGTCGACAAGATACTGTGCTTTGTAATACGACAACGTTACACCGTAATCCTGTGCAATACAAAAGTTTTGAACTTCAGCTTTTCCGATGAGTTTACTTACAATAATCAAAGATCTAACGGTTGAGATTTCTCACCAAAAACTTGAACGTTGAGAGCGGATATGCTCGGATCACTTGCGTGGCGACACGTGGCACCGATGACCACGTCAGACAAATCAACGACTCCCATTGGTTCCTCCCCAGAGAGTCCCCCACGAACATTACTGTCTTCCCTTTCATCTTTTCCAGAAACTCGAGCCCGTTGAACCTGGTCAAACCCAAAATTGTACAACTATTAATGCATAAGGTACAATATTAACAACCGTTTCTCAATTCTCCCCCTCCACTTCTCCACAAACCTTTGGATAACCCTCAGGCCACTACGAGCAGAGTGTTTTCAAAGTACAAATGATAAAGGAGCTGATTTTAGTCGACGGCGGATAAATACTGACCTGGGGAGTTCACAGTTGGCCGGTTTCCAGCGGTACTTGAGGTAATCGGAGTCGGGTCGACCGTACATTTGGCAATTGAAATCAGGATCGATAACTGGGCAAGAAGATGACTGGTAGATCGGATAGGAATCGTCGTGAACCCATGAACCCATGAAGAGAGAACATTGAGACTGATTGGCTTGGAGGATAGGGCGTCGATGGTGAGAGTTATGTTCATTGTTGTTGTTGATATGATGAACTAGCATGTACGATGAGGATAATAAGGTGAAATGGAAGAATATAGTAGAGATCAAAATCAGAAAAGAAGTAGAGATAGATATGAGTTTAGATTGAAAAGCCATGGATGGAAGAAGATGCTCGGGAAGAAAGAGGGGAGAATTGAGGGGCTTTTTGGTACTGTTTTGTTTGATTGGGAACTGAGAAGAGTGGCGAAATCAGAAAAGGTTTCACGTGTGTCGGGTCGGGTTAATATAAAAAGATGAACGATGAACAGTATATTTAATATAAGAATAAGAATCTTGGTATATGTAAATAAAATTAAAATATATAGAAAACACATGTCTTATGTATTTCTTTTATCTTGTTTAAAATATATATATATACAATACTTCAACAAATTATAACAATATTAATCATGATTTTTTTTATAGATCCTCAAAATATAGCATTTTTTTAGGGATAATGACTTAAAAGGGTAATATATTTTTCGATTTGTACACATTTGGTTACTGAGTTTTTTTTTTTTGTCCACATTTACCTCTTCAACTTGTTAAACTGTACACATTCAGACATTATGACCGGGTACTCCAGGTTAGCCGGGAAAAATGACTTAATAGGGTAATATATTTATCATTTTGTACACATTTATTTCTTAATATTTTTATACATATTTAGTCCTTAATATTTTTTTTGTTTCAAAATAAGACATTTTTGTTTTTGTACTCATTTAATACTTATGAATGATTTTTGTAGGTTTTTCTCACGACATCTTACGTGAGACAATCATTGATGAGGTTTTGGGGCTGTTGATGCTTATGTCCATTGCGATTTTGACTGCTTGGTTGCGTAGGTCTTGTGGTTTGTCTTAGGTATTGTATTCTGAACGTCGTAACTTCTTCATACGATATCGAATTTTAACGATCTTTATATCCACGTGTTCGTTTTTTAGTCTACTACAACTTTCGTTAAGATTACTCCGGTTAAAATGTAATATATTTGTACTTACGATTTTATAAAAAAAACATTCATACATGCATTCATAAAAAACGTATAGATATAAATATCATAAGTAAAAATATATTACTTTTTAACGGGAGTAATCTAAATAAAAGTTGTAGTAGACTAAAATACGAAGGCACAGATATAAAGATCGTTAAAATCCGAGATCGTATGAAGAAGTTATGACGTTCATAACACATGACCTAAGCAACCAAGTAGTCGAGATCGCGATGGACATAAGCATCAAAAGTCTCAAACACCTCATTAATGAATGTCCCACGTAAGATGTCGTGAGAATAAACTAAAGAAATTATTCATAAGTACCGAATGAGTACAAAAACAAAAATGACTTATTTTCCAACAAAAAAAAATATTAAGGACTAAATGTGTACAAAGTGAGAAATATATTACCCTATTAAGTCATTTTTACCGGCTAACCTGAAGTAACCGGTCATAAGGACTGAATCTGTACAGTTTAACAAGTCGAAGGGGTAAATGTGGACGAAAAATGCACAGATCTGAGGGGTATTGTGTGCCAGAATGCACAGATCTGGACCACCGGATGAATAGAATCAACAGTCATGATCTGAGGGTCTA